ATCACTGGACCTGTTTTTATTCCACTCCAGGTCTTTCCCCAGGTACCTCTAGAAAGAGCAAATTGCTCTAACAAGGAAAAGGTCTTTTCCCATTATTAATAAACCCACTGATAGACTTGCTCATCCTTTCTGGCTACCAGCATAAAAACCTCGGGGCTGTAATTATATTTGGGGGAGGGAGTCAACAGGGGTCAGCATGTACTTGCATCCGTGATTTCCCAGGTCGTCCTACCAGAAAGCATGTCTGATGGCCGCATGACACCCAATGCCCTAACACAGGCGCTTGAAGAGATTGCCCCATAGGTGTGGATCTCCAAAGTGATTTTGTTGCCTTTAAGTATGAGTCAGGATGACACTGATGTAAGTGGGTTAAACAAATGCTTAGAAATGGGAAAGTTAAAATCAAAAGCACTGGGTCCAGCTTGGCCTGTGTGGCTCAGTGGTTGAGCACAAACCCATGAACCAGGAGGTCACCATTCAATTCCCAGTCAGGGCATATGCCCGGGTTGCAGGCTGGATCCCCAGTAGGGGGTATGTGAGAGGCAGCCAATCCATGACTCTCTCTCATTACTGATTTTTCCATCTCTCTCTCCCTCTCCCTTCTCTTTGAAATCAATAAAAACATATTTTAAAAAAAAAAAAGCACTGGGTCCAATCTGCCTGCAGACTGTAACCAACCACCTATAACCAAGTCAGTCCTCCTGTGGCTGGGCTGGGGGTGGGGTCCTCAGTTCTAAGGTAACTTCCCCAGCTGAGTCGGGGGAAAAAGGAAAGAGAGAGAGAACAAGAAAGAAAATTCAGGGCAATGGGTAGTTCAAAGCATAGCCATAGGAACTTGGAATTATGAAATTCAACAATTTCAAAACTTCAGCTTTCCAAAAAGAAGTTACCCAAACACCTGAGCAGAAGTAATAAAAAGACTATGCTACATTTAAGAAAAAATAGCTGGACTTAAGTCATGTACTAACTTCTAATTCCTGAATTATTTCTTCCAAGACTTCTCACCTTATTAGAGTCCCAACCTTCTCTATCAGTAAAATGAAGACAATAGCACACACCTTTTCCCTAATCATATACAACTAAGATGGTATGAGCTCTTCAGAAGACAAATGTGATGGAAACTCAAGGGGATTTTTATGGACCATTTTTATTCAGCCTGCCCCTCCCCATCTCAAATTTTAAATTAATGGAAATTCTGGGCCCTTACCATTAAAACAGAAAAAGATAGTCATCATTTACTGACCTAGTCCTTACCACTCACAGAGCACATGGGGCACGAGACATCTTGTCGAACATACGGTGTTCCAAATGCAATAGTGCTAAGTATTTAATATTCTGCAGTGGGTTCCCATAAACCAAGTTGTGAAGAGTTGTAGGCAAACCACCAACTCCCACGGCAGAGGTAAGTTCCACCTCAACTTTTCTAACTAACTTGATTTTCTCTGTTGATTAGCTTTCTATCCAAATAATTCATTGGGTTTATTTTCCATTGAGAAGAAGTTTAGGAGCTGCTAAAAACAAAACAAAACAAAGAGAAAAAACAAACAAGACAAAAAAAAAAAAACAAACAATGCTGGTCAATTAATCTTTGCTTAAAACTCCCATATCGGAGTGTCTATTCCTTGGAGCCCATTCTTCTAATTATCCAAGGCTCACTTTCCCTCATCTCTTCCTGAAGGTCATAATAATGGCTACCCTGCCTTTAAAAAAAGTTATTAGCATTTCTAGGTTTTAACTTGCTAATCATGGCCTTATTTCATCACACCACTGCCTCACCTAGCCAATACATAGCAATACCAGTAATCGGTAATAAAAATAATACAAACCATGTGCTCAGTATACATCATGGTAAGCATTTGCATACCTTATCTCTAATTCCCACATCAACCCTACATGTAGGTATTGTTATCTGTTTTAACAATCAGGACACAGTCAGAGAGGCTCAGAAACTTGATCAACATCACACAGCTTATTAACTGGCAGCGATGTGATTTAATTCACATCTTTCTGAGTGCATAGTCCAAGCATCTTTCAGAGTACACAGTCCATGCACTTTCACACAGCAACTGCTCAGAAACCCATGTGGAAGCTACACTCACATTGTAGCCTCAAAATCAAAAGGCTATAAATATAATAACTGTATGATACAGGGGATATTATTTATTTTTGCCGCTCCTACTGTTCCAGTTTGGGCCATTGAAAGTTCTTTCAGGTTGGCTCTGAGCCTTTCCTAGGGCCCCATCTTTTAGCTTTATGAGCACTTCCGAACTTTCTGGCACCATAAGATGTTTCAGATTCACCTTGTGATTTCCCTATCTCAGCCCTAGAATCAGCCGTTTCTGCAATGAGCACTATTCTTTTCATTGGAGAATGGTATTAGAAACCAAGTTCTAGGGGCTAGGTGTGCTCATTGCTACTGTGATGTCATTGCTTCTAGACCATCTCAGTGGACAGAACCTATAAATAAATGTATGTGTACTAGGCCGTATATACACACACCTACATTTATTTCTATATCTATGCAATTTTTGAAAAAATCATGAGTTTATATTGATATCTCTGATTCTAATTCTAAACACTTCTCTTAATGTTTTATCCAATATCTCCCCAGTGAGAGAGTTAAGAGAAATGAAAAAGGCTAATGCATTTAAGTCGTTTCCAGCTATTGTCTAGGCAATGGGTCAGCAAACTATGGCCAATTGCCTATTTTTTTGTAAAATACTTTTACTGGAAAAAAAGGGTGTTTTTTTTGGAACGCAGCCACATCCATTACTTTAGATATTATCTCTGGCTGCTTTCCATAATTGAAAGAATAATTGAGTAATTATGACAGAGGTTGTGTGGGTCACAAAGCTGAAAATATTTTCAATATGGTCCTTTACAGAAAAGGGTTACAGATCCTGATCTAAACTGTGTTTCAAATTTCCATGTGGGAGATGAAATGGAAAAAAATGTGGATTCAGATCCCATCCTTCCACCAACAATTACTAGCCATGTGGCCTTAGGCAAGCCACTGACTCTTTCTGCACCTTGGTTTTCCTCTTCTTTGCAGTGTTTTGGGGAAGACTAGAGACCATACTGGCACATGATATATGTTCAACTAATGGTAATTAGAATGACTTCTATAGGTTGGCTATTTAGGATTTAAAATGGAATTTTGCACATACACACACACATGCAAATGATTTTTCAGGGGTGGTTAGATGATTAATATAGTCCACAGAATCTGTTCAACATACAGGGATTAGAGTTTAAACTATAATCCTAAACTCAAATACTCCATCACTTACTAGCTGTGAGACCTTAGGCGAGTAACGTCTTTGAGCCTGTTTCTCTTTGCATACAAGGGTAATACCTTCATAGGCCATATGAAGTCATGTCTATGGATGTCTTTATGCCATGGTCCCCAACACTGACAGAAGACCAAAGCTGGAATGGCTTTATCAAAAGTAGAAGCAGGATGCATTAGAATAATGTTCCTGGCCCTAGACCCAGGATTCTGAATCAGAAGGTCTAGAATAGTGTCCACACTAATCGCATTTAGCAAACACCTAAGGGGATTTTGTTGCAGGGCCAGGTCTGGAAACCACAGTTAATCGGTAGTAAATGCCACACAAATCCCCTCTGTGACCTCATGTGAACCCTACATCTTCATCAGTGCCTTCCTCTCACTCAGGTAAATGGCTGGCCCTAAATGGCTCCTGCAAGTGCTACAGGAAACCAAAACTTCCTTCTTCTGAGCCACTACATTGTGTCCCTGTCTAGAAAATTAGGTCCTGCTAGACTCCAGGAGCCTAGTAAGATTCTCCATGTTTCAGAAGAAAATCTAATCTATTCCTCAGTCTCCTTTACAAAAAAAGAAAAAGAAAAAAAACACACAATGCTTCTCCTCATTGTGTTAGGTCAGTAGACACAAAATCAAGAACCAGATGGTGTTCTATGGAGGGGAAAGGGGACAGGAAGGTGACCAGGAACACTGGTAAGAAAGAAATTTAAAGAAGTCTGAGGGGCCCCGTCCCCCCATCCCTGACCCTACCCCCTAGCTGAGCCTTTCACACATTGCCCTGCCTGGCAGTGGAGCAGGGTTAGAAGCAGATATAGGACTTCTTAACCCACACCTGGGACCCACAGAGGGGTTGCAGAATGGGAAATCTCAGGTGGTGGGAGCTGGGATGAAGATTCTTGGGGCCTTTTGGATGTGAGGGACATATATCACTGTGACTCTGACATATGCCATACCTGAACACAATTAAGCTGGTACACCAGCTCAAAAGGCAAGTTTCCCTTGCTCGCTCTTAAACACCAACAGAGACCAGAAAGGATAGGTGTGTCCAAGAGCAGGAATACAATGGAGGCTGACAAATTTAGTGGTGTCCAAGGCGTAGCTTTCAAAGCATCTTAACCCTTCACCTGCCAAAAATTTTTAAAATTGAAGTGGCATTCACATAACACAAAATTAACCATTTTAAAGTGTACATTTCAGTGGCATTTAGTATATTCACAGTGTTGTATAACCACCACCCATATCAAGTTCCAAACATTTTCATTTCCCCAGAAGAAAACCTTGTACCCATGAAGCAGTCATTGCCCTGTTCTCCTGTGTACCAGCAGCTTTTTATAATGAGGAGTGGATTTTCTCTACAATGAGATTTTATGTAGTCATTGTTTTGAAGAACTTTGGCAAACTTTGGGTTCAAAGGGCACAGAAACATTTTGTATTCAACCAGGTGGGAGTAACTTCTGGAAAGCCTAAGGTAAGTGTTCCCTTCTCTTGCCCCACTCAGCCCAGTGGGAACAATGCCAGACTCTTGCACACGCATGCACAGACACACACACATGCGCTCATGCACACCCCCCAGGCTGGTTGGTTTCATGTGGTCAGGAACCATCCATAACCATGAGAACAAGAGTGCATCATGATCGTTCTGAGAGGAACCTCTTCGGCACCCCAGAGCCTGAGTGACTCCCCCAAATGGGTCTAGACAGAGGTCAGCTCTTACCCGCTGCTTCTCTGGGTCCACATAACGAATGCCAAAGTAGTCCTTCTCCAGCAAGCTGTAGTAGTTGCAGATGTGGTCAATAAGAAACTGCCCTTTGGTTTCCCTCTGCAAAGGAAGCACATTGAAGTTTCAGCCAGAGCTGACCTTGTGCATTCATGCTAAAATATGCCTTTGCACCCTGATAAGACTGGGCTTAGGGAAATGGATTCACTCACTCCATCCCTAGCTTCAGAACTCTGAACTACAATCTACTGTGAGATACATATTTCACACTGTGAGCCATCAAACACACACACAGGAACATAAATGCAATGCACTCTAATTTGTTCTATTTTATTCTGTTATATGCCATTTGATTTTCTAATGCTCTTTACGATTCAGAACACTGATTTCACAACTCAATACCAAGTGGAAACCCATAGTTTGCAAATCCACATACCATGCACCTGTTTGCTCCAATTGCTCTGTAGGTATTTATTCATTCAATTCCCACTATACTGTGAGGAAGGTCCCCATTTCACATCTGAAGAAACTGAGGCACAGACAGGCTCAGTGGCTCACCCAAAGTCACACAACATGTACAGAACAAAGTAGGATTTGACCAAGAACACAGAATTGTAGGATCCAGGCTCCTACCATGCCATTTCCTCTCCCTGGAGCACTGGTGAGTCCATTGGGAGTCTGCTAGAAGGCAGGGTCTGGATGACAGAGAAATGAAATGAATGGTATCAGACAGAACATGCCTCACAGCCATCCTATGACATCCATAAATCAACACAGAAATGCACTGTGGAAGACGGGAGAGCCCAGGACTGGGATTCAAAGACAGGCCCAGGTGATCTTGGCAAACTCCCCGGCAGTAAAATAAGTAGGTTAGACTAGATGATTTCTAAGTTGGTTAGATTATTTTTCCTTCTAAAATTCTATGAGTGATGTGTCAGCCAAATCTGATTAAGATAAATACCATTACAACAAAACCCTTTTAACAGCAAAGACCCTTCTAAGTCCTCATCAGGATATTTGATAAGATAAATTTCTGCTTCAATCAAAGTCGCTGACAGGCCCATGGAATGTTTTAGGGATGGAATGTGACCCATAAAAATAAATGAAGAAACACTCCACAAGCCTCTCTTCCAAATCCACTAAAAGTGATTTTGGAAGATCAGTTTGGTCTATGTTACATGATTATCTTTTCATTAGAAAGTACCATGAGCTTGGGAAATTGATAAAAAAGCCACTTGCTAGCCTGGGATGCACTGCATTGGATGAAAGATTGGGCCTTTTAAACCCACATTTGATATGAGGCTTCAATTTTCCTGAAATCATTTTGAGTTTAATTTCTAATGAAACTTGAGCCTTTATTTCCTTCCTGAGAGAACCCATTTGATGTAGCTCAAAAGTAACAAAACATCAAAATGGAATTTGTTTTTAAATGTCTATAATTGTTTTTAAGCCCAAATGACCAACTACATCTAATGACAGCTAAAGCCAGTGCCCAGCAGATAATCAATGGATTTAGTTCCTTTTAGAGATTTATGCTGTAACCCATCCATTTTTAAGAGGCTGCTGCAGGATCACATCACTGGGCATAACACGAGCTCATCATTTGATGATGGGCTGCCAAGCTTTCTGCAGGATTTACTGTGGTGAGCTGCTCCCACTGTATGCTGAACCTAACCTGCATCTTAGCCAGAGCCTCCAGGTAGTCACGTGCTCATTCAAGTTTGAGCAGCACTGATCTAGGGAAACTACCTTGACCTTGGAGAAGTGCAGAAGTGGTACCTGTCTCCAGAAGTCACTAGAAAAATAAATCCCATTTTCCCTTAGAATTATCTATGCTTCAACTCAGAAAAATCAAAGTCTTTCCCAGACTTGAGAACACTAACGTCCCCTGCACCTGCAGGCTGCCAGCCAGCCTCCTCATCCTGAGACGCTTCGTGTCTCTGCTTCGTGCCAAGGAAGCCAGCCTACAGCCTCACATTCTGCTCTGCTCCACTCCTGCCTGGAAACCTGGACAATGTTCTTAAGCCACTGAAGTTCTTATTATTAGCATTTATGCACACTAAACCTAGCTCTTACACTAAACCAAAGGTCACCCAGGCTCAATCCCAAGGGTTAGTTGTGCTTGTTCAGGGCCAGGTGTGTGAGAGTCAGAAGTCCAGCTGCCAGCCCCACACGTCTCATTGCAGGGGAGGGGCTTGGAGGAGAACACTGGTTCTAACCTCCACCCCTCACCCCTAGACCTCTAGTGAACTGACCCAAACCCTCCACTTGCTTCCTCCTGAGGTTCCTGAGGGTGGAAACCATTGTCCACCACCCTGTCCTGCTGCCTAAGTCAGTGCCTGGCACACTGGATGTCACTGAATGAGTAAGCACAGCATTGCTTTTTTCTCATGGAAAACATGGGGTCTGGGAACAAGCAGTAAGCCTCAGGCAATGTCCTGGTATTGGAGATTCTTCAAACATAGTAGAATTAGCCAACTTTCACCTAAATCCTTCAAGGTCTATGTGGAGAAGATTTCAATTACAAGGACTTCTTTTTCATGTCAAAATTCTGTTGATTCCCTCACAAGATAGCAGTTTCAATACCAACTGAACACGGAAAAGAAATGAAGCAGCTAATATAAATTCTTTAGAGCTGTTACCTAAGTTTTGTTTTATTAATCATAATATTTCACAGATGTGAAAAAGAGTGGGACATAAATATGTGAGCAGGGCCTCAGAAGGACTTTATGATCCATGTCTCAGGAAAGTGCCTTAGGTATGAACTTTTGATGGTGTCTCTAAATGAGGTCACCTAGTCTCAGAAATGTACTGGCATGGTTGAAAAGAACAATTTGTTTACCACACACAGTTATACACCTGTCCCTATACTGGTCCCCACCACTTGTAGTGCACTATGAGCACCAAGCATTGGGATAAAGATTAGAGATAAACAGTGAGCAAAACACAATTTATAATCTCACAAGCTTTAAAATCCTGTGGTTTGTAAAATGTGAAAGCATTTTATAAACTGCAAAGCACTATACCAATGTAAGTGATCACTAATATTAAGAAAATCTGAACCTTAAATCATTGTCTTCAATTTCACAGACCCTTCTAGACACAAGGGAGTTGAGAGGAACAGTAGTCACCTCCCAGAATTGGCCTTTGTGGAAGAAAAAGTGAACAGAAAGCTAAAGAACTTGATTCCTTTGCTTAATTCCTTTTGCAGCCAATTGCTGATAATGCATTTACTTCAACTCCCCAGTTCAGTGGCAAAGTTAAAATCCCATATTTGTGCTTAAAGAAAAAGAGCAAGAAAAATCAATTGGTTAAGTCAGCATAGCTTGTCATCACTGAAAACGTAAGACAGGTTTCAATCCTCACTTCCTTAAACTCTAAGCCAAGACACTTTGCTGCCTTTTAGATATTGGTTAAGTGATAAAAAGAGTACCAACCCCAGATACTTAATGCATTGCCATAAACCCAGGTTTAGTGTTTAAATAGCTACCTTCAGAAATGAAGATATAAACATAATCATGAAAATTACTATTTATTAATCACTTACTGTACACCAAGAACTGTATTACATGCTTTGCATTCAATCTCCTGACAACCCACTGAGGTAATTATATTCTCCCCATGTTACAGATTTTTTAAATGGACTCAGAAATGTTATTTGTTTGTAAGTGTGTCAAGCCCATGCCCAAGCTGTTGTACAAACTCACATTTGCCTGTCTGCCTCCAGTCTCCATGTGGAGATGGAAAAAATCAATATGTGGATTTGGGAGCAGTATCAATTGGCCCAGTTGCAAGAATATGAACACTGGCAGGAAGTAGCTCTGGGTTCTATACTGCAACACCAGGCCTGAGAAAGGCAGTTTTATAAAATACAAACCAAATTACAGTAGATTGCCCGGCATCCATACAACCTTCTGTGTTCATAGAACCCAGATTTTGTTCAGGGATGCACATGTGTGTAAGACACATAACATCCACACAGCCACACACAGGGGCATGCAAAGTCCATGAGCCTCAGGAAATTATAAGCCAACCCACCTCCAGGGCTCAGGCTTGGCTGGTATAAGGGTAATCCCGCCCCCCTTATCTGATTGGTTCAGGACAGAACACATGACCCAGTTTAGGCCAATGAGATATGAGGAGCAGCTGGCTGGGGTTTCTGGATGGCTCTTTACTCTGAAAGAGCCTCAGGAAAAGATCTTCTCTCTCCTCTGGTCGTTGTTATTCAAAGGCGTGAGGTCTGGGACTGAGGCAGCCACCTTGAAACCTGCTTGAGGATGGAGCCGACACAGGAGGGAGCCGAGCTATTGACCGGGAAATGGAATTTGCATCTCCAGACTCTCAATCATGGACTGCACCTCAACTGTGAACTTTCAGGGATGCCAAAGAAATTCCTTGTTGTTGCAGCCAGTACTCATTACTCGGGAGAGAAGAATCAGTGTGGAGGCAGCAGAGAGGACGACAGTGTGAAACAAATCACAGAGGCTGTGGACTAACGAACCCGAGCTCAGTCCACCTACCAACAAGTTCTGCTCGAGCCAAGCAGTGTTTCTGTATTTTTAGGTTGGGAGACTGCACATAAGATCTGGGTGCTGGCTGCTCTTGAGAACCTGGAGGGTCTGGAAGCTGGACCATAAAGTCTGTGGGAGCTCAGTCCCAGCTGTTGTCCTCTCTGCTGCCTGTGGGAGCTCAGTCCCAGCTACCCTCTTACGCAGCGTGAACTGTGCGGTCTTCCACATTCCCATCCACCCCACATTTTCCGTCTCTTCCATTCCCACACCTCCCCAATCCCTGAAGGAATCTGAGTTTTCAGCCCTCATCTGAGGCAAGCTAGTGGCTTTCGAAACAGTTCCTTGAAAGAGTTTTCCCTTAACGTGATTGGGAGCATCCTGGCAGCCAGGAAAAGCCCTCAGCAGACACTGTGAGTTGCCCTGTGAGGCTGTGCAGCCACTGAGGTGCTAGGATGGGTGGGCAGGAGGAGGCCCTGACGCAGACCAAGGACTTTAGGGAGGATCACTGGGATGAGGGGAACAGGCAATAGTCAGAATCAGAAGCACAGGCCCAGGAGGCTGGGAACAGTTCATTCCGGGGTTGGCACTATG